GAGGAGGATGGAGAGGGAATCTTCAGCTATGCAAAACAGCATTTGCAAAGAAAAAGATGTGGTAGAAGGAGAGGGAGATAGTCTGTTTGATAACCAATGGTTCCTGTAGGTGATAAGGTAAAGTAAGAAATAAAGTAAGAGAAGTAAAGTAAGAAGTTAAGGTAAGAAATAAAGCTGCAAAGGTGGTCTGGGGATGGGCGATGCTAATCATGTTCCATTGAATTCATTCAGTCATCCTTACTTAGGTTCTTCTCTCAGCATTCTCAGCAGTGTTGACAGTATAACAGCAAGCAGGCCCATATGGATCATGCAGTTCTGTGGAAGGCACTGTGTAAAGCCCTTTTATGTGTATTAATTCATTTAATTCTTTGAACAACTCAAAGTCATAGACCTACTATTCTCATTTTACAGATGAGGAAGTGGAGCATGGAGGGTAGTAGTAGTAACTTGTCCAAGGTCTTGACTTTGATGGAGCCAAAATGAAACCCAGATAGTCTGGCTATGGAACTGACACTCTTAACCTATCTCCCTAGCCTCTGCTGTCCATGGTGATGAATGCACCACCTTGTTACAACACAGAGCATTGTGTAATGTGTGCATGATGCAAGAAGTAGAACACAGAAGGGAGTGACTAACTCTGTTAGAAACTTGTATGTGCATATATTAGAAAAACTTCATAGTGGAATAGCTAAGTAGGGTGTTGATGAATGAATAGGAGGTTACCAAGTGGACAGAGTGGGTAAGAACACACCTGCCAAAGGGAATTTCATTTGCAAAAATCACAAGTAAACACAGTATTGGTTTTGGTATTCAAAAGCAAGATTTTAAAGTAACATGAAATAATCAAGGAAGGGCTTTTACAAAGTCCATTTCATCAAGAGAAGAGACAGGGTGGCTGAGTATGGAATGCAGACATATTCCAGGTGAAGGTGATAAGGTCCATAGGCAGGCATTGCCTGGGAAGATGAAAAGGAAGGGATGGATGTGACAGCCAAAGACCTGGTATATGAGTAGGAACTCTAAGAAATTTTTTTTTTTTTTTTTTTTTGCACAAGGCAGATGAATCAGAGACAGAGCTTCTGTATGGGAGAAGTTGCCAGGTTTGAACAAGAGCCGGTGGGAGACTCACAGTATGATTAACAGAAATAAGGCAGGTGGTAGAAGTAGTTCGGGGGAGTGATACATTCTGTTTGCTGTATGTGGTTTGCAGATGCCTGAGGGACAACCAGCTTGATGTGGGCGTCTTGCTCAGAGAGGTGGTATCTGAAGCCAGGTCTGTGAATCAGCTTTTCGAGGGAGGATAGATCCTTGGGGGTTCAGCCTTTCTGATCTGCCACTCTCCTTTAAAGTGTAATACAGGATGCTGATTTTGATATTCTAAGCCTCTGAGTGCCAAGAGATGGCTGGAATGTGTACACAGATACCTAAATAAAGACAGAGCAGCCTCATATCCACATCTGACAGGGGTGCCAATTCAGACCTGATGAGTGTTTATTCAGTGTGTACCCAGATGGCAAAAGTGTCCAGTCATTGCATGAGAGCAATCAAGTCCGAATTTTAAAGGGCCTGATGTCTGTGGGTGCAAGAAGATACAACTGCATAACTATTTCTCTAAATCCCCAGTCTGTTTGTTTCTGACATCATGAAGTGTATGTTGACATCCGGTTTCAATGTCATGGTCTGACACTGTGAAATATTCTAATGTGCATGTCCCCAAGTGTGATGTGAAGGGCTTCAGGTATCCATTTACATCTCTACTCATACTGAAAGCTGCTGGACTGGAGTCCCAGATGTCCTTGCCAAAGGCACCAGGGCCTGACTCACCTTATGCCTGAATTTCCTCAGACATCAAAAATAAGCCTGTTGGCTGTAGATCCAGAGGTTGGATGATGTGGACTGATCTTAGGTGTGTGGAGGGCAGTGGAAGGATGGAGGGGCACTGTTAGAGAAGTGGGGTGAGAATGAGAAAGCAGGGGGAATTCTGTTGACCTCCAGTGGTGACCCCGAAAGCTGACCTAAGATAATTTAGTTGATTGTTGCTGTTGTGATCACACACGCATCCTGCATGAGTGCCAGAGCTGCCAACGGCCGAGGCACGCAGCCTCACATTGAAATCATTTGCAGCCCCGAATGCACCCTGCTGTGTAAGGGCATAAAGTTCAGTGGTCATTTAATTTTTATACCAGACGGATGGGTTTGAGGGATGGATGTGTGCCTGTCATGTGTGGTGAGAATGTAAATAGTAAGACATTCCTATCTCAGGAGGAATTCTGGGATGAGTCTCTGAGGGAGAGCAAGCTGGCGAATGTCTAAGGTCAGGGTAGCAAGTGTGCACTGTGTGGGCGGCAAGGGGCAAAATGAGGAAGAAAAGTCTTTGCTTCCCAGCCTGGACCAAGAAGCAGGTGCAGATGGCAGATCTGACAGGAGTGCATTTAGCAGATCTGTCACTCTGGAGCAAGCCATCTCGCCAATGTGGCAGCAGCTGCGTTTGGGAGTGAGAGAGTTTATTAGACAGGAATTCAGGCCCTTGGAGATGTGATCTCCCTGTGCAAGTAAATTGGGGAATCCATGTTTATCATTAGGACCAATGAGTCAGATCAACTAATTTATCAAGAAAATTGAGGCATAAAAGATGAGAAGGGATAATGTTTTTTTCAATGAAGGGAAGAACAGGCTGATCTAGAAAATTGTATTGATTCTTTACTTTTGTCATTGCTGTTTTTGTTTTAAAACCCTTGCTATATGTTTTTAATGTTTGGAATTATATCAAATAGCAGAACTCTTACCTGGAAATTAAGAAATTTGAGTGGGTTTTGCTATTGACTGAAGGCACATTAATCTTAAAATTACTTACTACTAACAATCAGCCCAGAGAGACACTGAGCTTGGGGCTGGAGATAAAAATGTGAATAGACATAGTCCCTACCCTCATGGAGGGGTTCTGTAAGGGTACAGTTAGCAGGGGAGATGTGTAATGAAATGGGCAGTTGAGATAAAATGTGGTAGGTGCTGTGTTATGATTAGGTTCATAGTACAATGGGAGCCCAGAGTGAAGGCAGTTGACCAGTGGTTGATTTTAAGAAGTCAGGCCTAAGTTGAAACTGATGGGTGTATAGGACGGGCGGTTGCCAGGAGAAGGTGGAAAAGGCTCAGTGTATCTGGAGAAGAGGACAGTGTATGCGAATGACAGAAGCAGGAGAGAAACACGGCTAGTGTGTGTGGAGGCGTGGATGTTTGAGTGGGTGAGTGAAGGCATGGGAATGGATGAGCTATGAAGCTTGAGAGAGAAGGAGGAGCCACATGAGTGACCTTGTGTGCTGAATTAAGGAATTTGGACCATATTTTTGTTTGGACCTGTATGTTGAGGGCATTAGGAACCCATAATGGTTTTAAAGCAGGGCCTCATATCTGCACTTAAAATATGTCTGCCTGTTGTATGGAGAAGGACTGGATAAGACTGAAACCAGAACGTGGAGGAAATTCTGGTATACCAATGAGGAGACATGGTGATAGTCTGAACAGAGACAGTAACAGGTGGTGTGGAATGGACAAGAGCAGGGTGACTTGAGAAGCTTGTTGGAGCGCTGCTAGGATTTGGGTACTGATTGGATGTGGAGTTGGGGGAGAGGGTGTGGTTAGAAGGACCCCAAGTAGTGGGGTGTGGGTACTGGGGTGGATACTGGTGCCATTCTCTATGAGTAGATGCTAGAGCAGAACAGAGTTGAGTTAGAGCTGAGCTACTGCAGGTGAGGTTCTGAGGGAAACAGACTGAAGGGGGGATTTGCTTGTACTTTATTGGGAAGTTGGCAGATCAGGATCAGTTCTGGAGTGGGAGTGAGATAGTGAAGGAAGCAGAATTAGGCAGAAGATTGACACAATGTAGTAAAAACAAATACCTCAGAGAGTTCTGGAGCTGGAATGACCTTTCAGAGTTATCTCTAGTTGAGGCAAGAGACCAGGACTTTGTATCACTGTCATCAGCCATTCACTGAATGTGGACCATCCTGAGGGACTTGACCTTGGGTAAGGTGGTTCTCTTCAGTCAAGTTCTAGATCACTTTCAGCTGAGAGATATTAGTTGTTAATTGTCCCAGCAGCTGCAGGAATGTGTCCTTTGGCCCTCGAGGAGGATTTGAGTAGCACATCACAGCACCCACTGCGGAACCATGATATTAAGCCACTCTCTCTAGGTTTTCTTCTTCCTGTGGCTAAAGAGAGAATCGGACAGCTTGATTGCTAAGTTCCCTCATACTTGGACGTTCTGTGAGAGTTGGAAGAGTATAGTCCTGGGAAACCATCAAATTTAATTAACTTTAAATAGGTTTTTAATAGGTATAGAAATGGAGGCTCTGAGAGGTGAGGTGACTTTTATAAGGCGGTGAGTTAGTGGTAGAGATTCTTTGAGTGCATGCTTTCATTTCTCCTGAGGACTAGAGCTAGAAGGTCCTCATCTGTGCAGGAGAAGAGGTGATCAGGCCTTCACTTCTCTGTTCCTGCTGATGTGGCTGGAGAAACTGGAGAGACACATTAGGGTCATATCAATTTAATATATTCTGCACTTGCTTAAAAGTGAGTCAGCAAGCTGACTTGAAGACTGAGTCCCAGTGAAATCTAAACTAAGTGCTGTGAGCTCTGTTTATGCTTCTCTTCACTTTTCTGCAAGGCCTGTCTGTATTCCATGCCCTCCCGATGAGTCTGTTAAGCTCGCCTTTCCAAAGGCACTCTCTAGTACATTGATACAACATTTTACTGGCTTGGCCTGTATTTCTCAGCTGTCTCTGAGCTTTTCAGGAATAGATGGGCTAATGACATACACTTCCCATGATTACATGAGGGAAAAATGGCACCCTTCTGCACTGTGGTTGAGGTTCTGATAAAATGGAACGTATATGAGTCTCCTTTGACCTACTATGTTCTGTGAAATCTGTTGTAGTTGGATGGCACCTCTGAGGTCATTTTGCTGCATAACACAACTAATCCATTTTTCTGTTTTATTACAGCAAAATGTATCTATGGAGGAAAAGTCCTTGCAGAAGGCCAGCGGATTTTAACCAAGAGCTGTCGGGAATGCCGAGTAAGTTTCAATCTTGCGGTCCCTGTCACTTGTAGGGGATTAACAGATAGATAAGTGGGCTTGGATAGGATTATGAAGTGAGGCATGTTGACCTGAGTGGGTCTCTGGGAAGAAGGGTTCTGTGGTTTCCTGGAGTATAGGGTGGGGAGGTCCCAGCCACTGTCACTGTGTGGTTAGCCTGTGGTTGGCTGTGGCTCAGGGAGCCTTGGGAGAAGTTATTAAGGGAAGAATGTGAGAGGGGGAAGGGAGATAGCAGCTCCCATGAGTCAGGAGGTTGGCAGGTGGCCCTGGGGAAGGGCTTTGAGTTGTGTTGGAGAAATGACTCTGTGATACTGACTATGGACATGCCATCTCTACTCCCAGGTATCTGATGAAATGTTAGAATGTGCATCTGTCTCCCGCCTGCTGCCTTCCATGTATTTCTTGAAATAAGATGTGTAGAACCAGAGGTCTTATTCAGTAATCATTCAGCAAACAGGCACTGAGCAACTGCTTTGTACCAACCTTACACTAGATTCTGGGTATGCAACAGTGAACAAAAGTTCTATGTCTTCATAGAACTTTCAGTTTAGTGGGGGAGACAGAAAATAAATATACAGTATATGCCAAATTCTATGTAAAAAGCACAAAGTAGGATGCAGGGATAGAGTGCTTTGAGGTGGAATGGGTGGTCTGGGAAGGGAGGGAATATTTAAAGAGTGGTGGATAAAGTGCGGGAGCTAGCCCTGTAGTTACATGGGTTTGATGCTATCCTAGAATGCAAGAGCGAGATGGAGGAAGGAGAGGCGGGGGTGGGGGTGAGGGGGCGCAGATCCACGCTGGTCCATTGCAGAGCACAGCTGGCTTTGTGGGGCATCTCCAGAGAGACTGCCTGGAGTCCCTGTGTCTCAGAATAGATCATCTTGGCATGTGCTGATACCTGTGTCATTTCATTTGCTTTTCCTCACACCTCTGGAGAAAAGAAAGGAATGTGTTTTAAAGAGTGAAGGGAGTGAGGCATTTAGAGACCTGTAGAAACTCTCAAGGAACTTGAATCCAGCTCTTTATGGGGTTTGGGGGAGAGAGAAGGCTGTTTCCTGCCTCTTGCCTCTCACTGGCCAAAATCTGCCCAGGGGTTACCTCCCTTGAACTCCTCCTATTGGATTTCCCATTCCCTCTGTCTTGGCTGCCACTGAGAATGCCAGAGACTCCATGGGTCCTGACGGTTTGGTTGGTAGGCAGGTATGATGGTCTTTCTGCACGAGTGGGTACAGTGTAGGCACTACCTAGTCTATGGCAGAGGCAGGGATGGTGTGACAGCAAGGGCTGTGTGATCTCGTGACCAAGACAGGCTCCTAGATCTGAGAGTCAGGGAGCTTGGGGGCTGGTCTCCAACCGAGAGTCAGTACGTCACTACACATGGATGTTAGGCAGATTAAATGAGATAAAGCATGTGAAGAATTTGGTAGAGCGCTTGTCACAAAGTAAGTCCTCAGTGAACATGAGCTTTTCTTATTCCACATGTCCATACATGTCCTCCCTGAATGTGAGACAGATGTCATATTTTCTGTATATTGTTTCACTGTGGGAAGGGAGACGATTCGGATTCTAAATCCCTTCCTGTTTTCTCCTACCTCAGGGGAGGCTGGGAGGACTGAAGGCGGTTTTGTGTGTTCTGCCAGTGATCCCAGTATCTTCCATGTATCTGTCACTTACAAGTAGCAACCTCCGTTACATTTTGAAACAGTGGGTGACACTTGCAAGGGTCACAATTATGACTCGATTTCTGTTATTAGGGAGGATCAAGGCAGACACCAGTTGAGATCTCTAGAAGATAGGGGCTTAGGTTTAAATGCCAGCTTATTTGAATAGCACTTGTGATTGTTATGACGTTTTGTAGATGCTCCACACCCTTTGGTTCATCTTCTACTGTTTTTGGTTTTACAATTTAGAAAGAAGTTGGGGCAGACAGATTATTCTCTTTGCACAAGTGGTTTGTGTGTATGTGTGTGTGTGTGAATAATTTCATCCTCTTTGTAAAAGTTACTCATTTATTTTCTTTAGTTATTTATTAAATCATTACTGTGTGTACAGAAAGAAGGGTTATTGACAGTACCTAACATTTCTTGAGCATTAGTATTTACTGGACACTATTTAAAACATTTCAAAGATATTATTGCATATAAATCTCATAATAACCCTATGAGGTAGTTACTGTTGTTATCCCCATTTTACAGATGGGGAAAGAGAGGCACAGAAGATCAAAGTCACATAGCTAGTAAGTGAGCTAGCTAGGATCTGAACCTGTGTGAGCTGCCTGCAAAGGCTCCTCTCAGCCTCTCTGCTGCCACTGCTGATGGTGTTATGCTTATTTGGAAATAATTCTCATTTCTGAATTTCAGAAGGGTAGATTCAGAAGGATTAAATTACCACTTTTCAGTCTAACAATACCAGATTGGTTAGGGTATGTATGACTCATTGATTCCCCTGATTAAGGTAGTAGCATTTATAAAAGGGGATAGAATAACCTTGGGACACACGTAATGGATGCTGTCAGCAGGGGGAGAGGGTGATGGGTGTAGGATGGGGGGACCTCAGGTCCCTCTCCGGCAGCGTTTCTCACCATGTTAAGCCCTAATGCCCTATAGCACCTGTTTTATGTAATGAATTAACTGCTTGCCTAGACATCTAAAATGACTTTACATAAGTACTACTCTTGGGGGAATTGAATGAATAATTAAATAATTTTCTGTGTTCTGTGATTCAAATCCAGATCCCCAATTTACAAAAGGCTGCTTGGAGATTCATCCATTTCCATTTTCCTGAGACCCTTTTAAGGCTTCTGTAACACCAATAAGACAAGAAAAAACTTGTTTCATATATTTTCACCAAGTGTTTGTAGGAGTTAATGTATGGATTTTTAAAAATCAAGATGTATAAACTCTTCTAACAGTTCTGCTCAATTCTGTCCAGTTATTATATTGTTATCCTGCAAGATTCCTTTAGTACAATAACAGTTTTTAGACTTGAAGTTTCAAGTTTTGTTAGTAGAAATTCAGGCTAAAGCACAGTGATTAGTGAAGACCTTGAAAGCATTCATATTTGACCAATGACATGGAAACAGTCTTTCTAAATGAGAAAAAATAGAAGAATTGTATTTTTCCACCAACAGGGGTCATAAAATAACATACCATGATCACAAGGATTTGAAAATGTTAATTATCAGGTACTTCTTACTAGAGATAGTTTTGAAAATAAAGTTAAAAAATATTTGTGCTTAATTATGTGGCTGGACTAAATGGATTTGGTGGCACTTATGCTACTGTAATCACAGTTCTTATTATTTTCAAATTCATGCAGAGGAGTTTGTCTATTTAAACTTTCAGAGTTATGATCTTACTCATTAAATATGTTAAAGGTTGATTAGAATTGTCTGATTGGTCCAGTAGAAGCAAGCCCTTTTTATAAAAAAAAAACCTTTCATGAGTGATTATTTATATCTCTAGCATTAAAAATTTTTTTTTTTACCAGAGCAAATATATACTCATGATATAGAATTTAGAGCACAGAGGGAAAAATATAAGGAGGAGAATGGGAATCCTTCCAGAATCTCACCTCCTGGAGATCCTCTCTTTTCACAGTTTGATTTTAGACAGCAAGCGTGAAATTTATCTTAGAGACTTGGTTTGGGTTCTCTTAGATGCAGGCCCTGAGCTAAGGGTTTCAGTCCAAGTGATATTATTAAGGTAGTGCTCTCAGGAGAAACCAGCAAGGGGTTGGGGGATGCAGGATGGGGAAGGGCAAGGAGCTGAGCAAGGGTGTGATTTGAGATGAAAGGCAAGATTGCATAGCCTGATTCCACCAGGGGTTCTGGAGCATAAGTTGTTTCCCAGCCATTTATTGTCTCCCTTCAGGGGAAAAACACCTCCCCTGCCTGTCATTCACAGGCTGTGGGGGTGGGTGATGGAGACTTTGTAGGTAACTTCTGGATCTCTGCATGGACAAAGTGGCTTTAGTGCCCAGGGACAACCCTGTGAGGGTGGCAGGGTGAGCCATTAGCAGCAAAGCATTCAGGACCTGGGGGATGCGCACCCAACTGAATACAAGGACTCCTATAGGGTCTGCCACACTTATTTATGCAGGGAGGCAGTAGGTAATGATTACATGTATTAATATTGAAGGGTAGAAGTAGGGCAACAATGCTAAGTAATTAAGCATTGTATTTTCCTTTGCCTTTAGCTTATGTTCCTGATAGTAAGGTCATTAACATCTTTTGGTTTGTAATAATTGGTTTGATTCCCTGTTGTAGAAATTAAGGTACAACTGATAGATAAGCACACTGACCTCAAGACTGGTGCTAACCCAGTGTGGCCTGGATTGAGGGATGAGAATGGAATGTAGCTAAAGAGAGGCCTGTGGGTGAATAGCACGATCAATTCTCCGATCTTAGGACCACTTTTAAGAGAGTCAGGAGCAAAGCAAGGGGTCTAGGTAACTGGGGACAGATGGAGAACTGAAGGACAAAGGGGGAGAGAAGAAACTATACAAGGAGTGCTAGAGGCTGGACTGTCTTGGCTGAAAATTATAAGAAAGTAGGGGAAGCTGTGGTACAGGTTTCCAAGTGATGAGTAGTTGGAAATCAAATTTGCCATTTGAAGTTATGTGTATGCTTACATTTAAGAATGGAAGTGACTGATAGAAAGGGACCTCCTGCTAAATCTGTGGACCAAGAGGCCATTGGAATGATGGCCTCTTGGAGACGGGAAACCCAGTGTCACCCTATCCAGCTCCATTCTATTCTCTCATCTCCATTGAGAATTACTTTGTAGCCTTAAATGGGACACTCTTTCTCAGGCTTGCTTCTTGGGTGACTTAAATATCCTCTTAAGAATGGGAGAGAGAAACTTAACATTTTAGATAAAATAAGGGATTCTTAAACCTTTTTTTTTGTAGTAATTAATGGACTATTTAAAAAATTCAGAATATAACTAAATACAGATGCTAGTAATGTCAACAAAGAGGACCTTTGGTGAAGTGAGATCAAAAAGATTCACCTGCTGAATACTTAAAATTTTACTGTAAGCAATTATATATGTACCTAGGGAAAATCCAGTACTGATCTAACCAACCCTCTTTCAGCTCATTTAAACCCATATACCTTGGTTCTTGTCTGTTTCCTCCGCTGGGAAAGTCTTTTATTTCATTATTCAAGTTTCCTCAAATGTGGCATCTTCTTATAATCTGTCCCCATCTGGGCAGAATTAGTTATTCTCCAATGACACATTATCATACCTTAAATTAGAGCACAGTTTTTAGGGCTCACTGTACTGTACTATGGTTTCTAATTTAAGAGTGTTTTTTTTTCTCTCTCCTTCTAAAACTGTGAGCTCATCAAGGGCAAGGAAGATGTCTTATCTTTGGTTTCACAGTGCTTGCGATGCAATGGAGTGGTGAAAGTGGCTATTTAAAGCTCATGAAAGCTCATTGTACATAATTTTCCTATTCTGATGACTGATGCTTTGGTAGTTCAAAATTGGTCATCATCAGGGTATTTACACCACAGAAATCAGCAAACCCTCCAAACCAGGCTTCCCCCATCCAATAGTCAACTTAAAAGTTTACCAGCATGCTACTGTTTGCAATCTTCTGCCACACAGAAGGGACTCAAACATCATTTGCTGAGACTGATGCTATTTTGATATAGAAAGAGAAATTTGCCTTCTCTTCCAAGAGTCTCATCAATTTAATTTGCAACTTTGTCATTATTGTGGAATTCCTGGGAGTGCTGTTAATTATTGCAGCTTGTTATCACTGCAGGCTGTTAACAATTAGCATTATATATTTGTATCACTGGCTAAAAAATATGAACATTTTTTTGTTTCCTGATTATTCGGCTTCCAGGGTGGAGTTCTAGTAAAAATCACAGAAGCATGCCCTCCTTTGAACTGCTCAGAAAAGGATCACATTCTCCCAGAGAGCCAGTGCTGCAGTGTTTGCAGAGGTAAGCGACCTTGGTGGTGGGGCTGTGCTTGGATGCGGGTGGAGGGCCATGAGGGTTTACTGAAGACTCTGATAAAAACATGGGCCCAAATCTTGGCTCTGCTGCTTAGAAACTTGCATATCCTATTTTTCTTTCTTAGTCATAGTCGTGTCAATTACAAAATGAGGATAATAATAGTATCTGCTTCAGAGGACTGCTGTGACAATTAAGTGGGATAGTGCCTAAGGACCTAGCATCATGCCTAGATTGTGATAAGTGTTCAATAAATGATAGTTCCTATAATAATGATAATGATAGTTCCTGTAATCATTCTCGTTATTATTACATTTTTTCTTATGAGTGGGATTGGGAAGGATTCTTTGCAGCTCTTTCCATGGTCCAAATTCTGTATCTGACAGAGCATGATGTATAGTGAATCCTTACTCATACATTGTATGCAGCTTTATTGTTCCTGCAACCAAAAGAGCTTCAGAGAAGGAATCTCTAACTAATGATAAATTTTAGGGCAGACATTGTTTGCTTCCTCTTCTTGGAATTCCCTTCTCTCTCACATTTGTTCTTATTTCTTCAAACCCCAGGTCAAATATCACTTCTCTTCTGAACCTTCTTTCTCACCCTGCAAAATTAAATGGATTAGGTAAACCTAAAATTTATTTGAAGTCTTACAAAACAAATCCAGCTAAACTCACAGCTATTATTTTGAAACTATATCCACCACAAATTTTTGTTCATATTCTCAAATACCCAGTGAGTTAGATCCTTTTTGGCTTACTTTTGAAGCTTCTAAAGTTAAGAAGCCAGCAGCACAGTAGTTTAGCTCAGCCTACTTGCATTTTACTTTTTTCTCTTTTCTCTAGCACAAGAGTTGGAAGGTTTTTTTTTGGGGAAGGGCCACAAAGTAAATAGGTAAAGCTTTGTAGACCAGAAGCTTTCTGTTGCAATCACTCAACTCTGCCATTGTATTGCAAAAGAAGCACAGACCATAGGTAAATGAATAAGTAGGTGTCATTGTATTTCAATAAAATTTTATTTATAAAAAACAGGTGACAGCCCATAATTTCTTGACCCCCAGCTCAAGAGCCTTCTGAAATATAAAAATGTCTACTTTATCATGGAGTGTTGTCAGCTTAGGCTGAGATTTCTCTCTGTGCATGGTCAAGAGAGAGCTATATTTTGGTAAAATTCCTAGGAAAACAGTGCATTGATAGCCAAGAGTAGTTCTTTGAATCAATGACAGACTAACCATGCCACCAGAGTATCTGCCCTGATTTATTTGGTTTCATGGTTACAATGATATTTGGAGCTAGGATTCTTTAGAAAGACCTAAAGATTGACTTGACTTTTCAGAGGGTTGTGTTTATTTGTAACCTAAGGGGTCATTAGGTAGGTCCTATAATATAGTGCATAGTCTGCCACTTGCTATTTGTTGAGGCACCAAGTTGGACTCAGTTTATGCAAATCCTTTCTGATTCATGGCTTCATTAGAACAGAATCATTGATTATCCAGAAATTCAAAAGGAATTTCATTGCTCTGACCCAGTTTACAATAGACTGGGTGTCTCAGCTTCTGCTAGCACGTCTCTGGAATGCAGGCACTTCTTTACCAATGAAGATGCTGAGGCATGTGACATCCCACTGAAAAGCAGACTCCCTCAGGGTCTCCAGTGCCAACAGTCTCATGGCTTTACCAACCTGGCTCAGCTTTGAGAAACGTGCAAGGTAGGGGTAGGCTTCATAGATGAGTCCACAGCTAGGGCTGATCTGGGGAATTGGTTACTGTTGTCTTCTACCTACTTCCTTCTCAGCCAGGAAACTACCAGCTCTTTTATTTGGCAGCTGATGGATTTTGGGAGGGGTTTGTGTGTGAGAGAGTGAATTATATATACTCTTGGACAACTCTACATTTTGACAGGAACTAGAGCAGGTCTTTAGAAAAGATACAGTGGGGCCTTCTCATGGGGAGTGGCTTAAGTCATTAGGGTGTATGGATTTGCTTATGTCTTTCCTATTTACTCCCATCTCCAAATTCAGGCACTGAATAAAGAAAGCATTATTTCTGACTAAGGCTCTTTCTAACCACTTTCTGTTCTTACCTCCTCCTCTGTTGATCCATAGCAGGGAAGAGCCCAGAATGTCCAGCCCACTGTCCAAATGCTGGGCTTGCTGTGCGCATCAGATGATCAGGAAATTAAAGTCATATTTGTCTGGGCAGTGAAGTATGTGCTTTTTCATGAAACATAAAATTTATATGACGATTAACAAAAAAATCAATCAAGAGGAGTTCAAAGGTCTATTGTCACAAAGTGCTCTCCAGGAGTTTTTGCTCTATATCTCTTAATTCCAGCTGATTTCCCAAAGCATCTTTAGAACTAGCATTAACACTATCTCACAATGTTGTGGGAAATACTTTTCCTCTTTGACTTTTATTTGTGTTTTACCTTTCTCTCTGTGCTCATGTTTGCTGAGTGGAGTCTTGTAAGAGGAGGAGGGGTTGGACAATTTCTGTTCTGACAAGACATGGAAAGCCCCATGAGCCTCTTCTAAGGCATATTATTCAGTCTGTCCCCCCTTCTCTAAAACAGAAAGTAATGAAAAGGTGAGAAACACTCAGTTTCTATGTAAAGTAATTTTTATTCTGTAGGTGGAAAACCTGAACCATTTGCTTTATGGGTTGAGATGGTCTACTGACTGGTAGGCAGCAAGTGAGCAGAGAGGTGGGACTCTGATAACCTGAAATGCATATTTCAGGGATGAGCACAGGGGTGTGACTTCAGTTCAATACCTGCATTGAAGGCCCTTCAGTTAGCATATTTTTCCTTTCTCTCTGTCTTACTGTGAATATCAAGCTATTAGTCCGAGTAAAATCGCCCCACGAGAGTATCATTTCTTGAGGTCTAAGCTAAAACCTTTCTCATGCCTGTTTGAGGAACTGAAATTTCCCAAGTTTATTTCCAAGGTTTTTCATTAGGACTTGGATGAGCTGCCCTACCTATGAGGAGGCTTAGACTTGAGAATTTGAGACAGCACTGAATGCGTTTTACTTGCTGACCCTAATTGGTTGCTTATAGAATATCCATAAAGCTCTCCAACTTCTTTTGCAAGCATTTGTGTTAGTGATCACATTTTATGGATTGATTCTTAAATGTAGGCGACAAGGTAGATGAGAATATGGGGCTACCAATAGGATATTTCTGTTATTTTCATGTCAGTGACTTTCGATGAAATTAGTACTAGCTAATAAGCTCTGTGTAGTTCATATGTGAAGTCATGTGAAAACCCATTTTGCTGAGTTACAACTTGTTTTTCCAAGTTATAATTTGTTGGCTTAATAATGAAGCTGATGTTTTTTTGAGTCATGCCCATTTTCTAATATGGTCTCTGCACCCATCCACTCCAACCCTGGCCATTGATGTGTCAAGGAGAGAAGTGTAAACTGTAGCTTTACACTGAGTTTTTCTCTCTGTGTGAATTAAACCTAAGACCTTGGAGTAAGAGTGACAGTCTCTGGCTGACTTGTGGTATCCTTTTTTCAGCAGAACTGGTATCCAGACCAGGGGCTCAGACGCCTTGCCTTTTCCTCTCTTAGGTTATGCCAAATGCTGTAATGAAGTCCCCTGCCCTGTAGGGAAAAATGAAGGTAATCTACTGAGCAGGTGGTTAAATCCACAGGGCTATTGGTGTGGCCAGGGGACGCCCTTAGGGAAAGACCTACAAAGACACCTGTACAAATAATCAATCCAATGGATGCTCAGGCCCAAGATCTCAGGCACTAGAAGAGCCCTAGTCATAGCTGCAGCATCTTCCTGACATCCCAGGACAGTTTGTGTTGGCAGCATGGAATCTGTTTACCCTCATCATTACCTTAAGGTAATGGTTATTGCAGGAGTTGTCTACCTGAAGTGTGAGGCTGCAAGGTGGAAATGGGGGAGTGGACACCCAAGTGATAGCTACGCTCCTGCCTCGGAAGAAGTAATAAGAGTGTGGATGTAGCTCTAGCAGAAAAAGATTGCTTATGAATTGCTAGCGCTCTCAGTGAAAAGGGGGAGAAAAGCCAATGATCTTGACCATGCATTCTCCAAATTGCTGCAGGAAAACACATAGATCATTTGGCCTATCCCAGAATCCTTGACATACTCCTCAGGGTTTTATTCCCTTTGTAATTAACTCTAATTGTATCTTCAAAGTCTCCAGTGATGGTGGAGGGTTTTGCCGCATGTTTAAGACTTTCAGTGTTGGGGGAAAAAGTTCTTTCTGACATCTGTTCACAATGTGTTTATCTGTAATTTTAATTCATACTCACTTGCCTTGTCATCTGGCCTGGACTGAAATGAGTTGGGATTATTTGTACTATTTAAGATTTTATGCTCTTCAATTAAATCCTCCCAAAGAGTCCTGTTGTTATATGATTTTTTTTCTAGTCTTCCTCATTATTTTAGGTGAATTCGTAATTGAAACAGTTTTAGAGAGAAGATTTCAAGGTATTAGAGGTACAAAGAAGCCTTGGAAAGAGGCATTTGATGGGAATGTAATCTAGGGCCTAAATAAAGGAACTGGCAGTGAGCTGATGGGTCACATGCCCTGTGTTTTGATGGATGGAATCATATGGAAATCCCTGCAGCCATGAGCTAAAATGGCCTGGGAAGACTGGGCTATACATTCAGCTGTTGAGGCCTGGAAGAGAGGGCGTTTGAAGGAGAGTACAGTGTCCGGGAGTCCATGAAGTCTGTGGCCTGAGAGTGCAGCAGTGGATCAGGGCCCAGGGAGTCTCTGGAAGGAGGCACGTTGCCCCAGAGAGAAGACCTGAAACTAAGGTCAGTCTGTCTTCGGTGGGAAAACCTTAGGTGCTGACAACTGTAGAAGAAACCAGTTGCTCTTTAGGAACATGTGAGAGTCCAGAGCTTAGTCTCGAACAGGCCCGTCCTGATAACCTAACCATGGTCACTAAGAAGGCAAGAATGTCATCACTTCTCAAGAGCCCAGTCTTCTCTTTTATGTATGTT